GGCTGTCTGTGTGTCTTGCGTTCGCGCGCTCCCTCGGGGAGGGGCATGTCGGCCCCCCCCCCTGGGAGGGTGCTCGCATGCCCGTGCCTTTGGACTGCCAACCGTCCCCCGATCGGTGGCGGCCGAGGCATGCCGCCCCATGTTGTCGATACCTGTCTAGCGAGCCCGCCTTGGTTGGTCCCCCCCCCCCCCCCCCCCCCCCCCCCCCCCCCGCCTCTGTCCTCCCTCCTCCGGGGCCCCTTCCTCCTCTCTGTGCTGTGTGTCATTTGTCGCGAGGGCCAGAGTGGCGGATATTCGCCCTGTGCCTTGGTCCCCTGTCCTCGCTGCCCCCCTCCCCTCCTTCCGTGAGGCAGGGAGCTGGGGGTCGCGAGCAGCCTGGGCCTCTGGGTGTTAATTCTCCCGGCCCCTTCTTCCGACCTCTCCCCCCCTCTCTCTCTTTTCTTTAATTGTTTGCCTATTTATTTGGGCCTGGCCTTGTGCCGTTCGATGTCTTCCCGCCATAGTCTCACCTTGCTTTTTTTTTCTTCCCCCTCGCGTCCTCTTCGCTCTTTTCCCCCCGCCCTCTGTGTCCGCGATCTTCCGCGCCCCGTCTCGCCCTTCCTGGCCAATAGCCTCCGTCCCTGCCTCGCCCCTGGCCTCCGATCCTGCGTCCCCCGTCGTCGCCTCTGTTCCCGAGGTGACTGAGCCTGAGGTTGAGCCCGAGCCCGAGCCCGAGCCTGAGGTTGAGCCTGAGCCTGAGCCCGAGCCTGAGCCCGAGGTCGAGCCCGAGGTCGAGGTCGAGGTCGAGTCTGAGCCCGAGCCTGAGCCCGAGGTTGAGCCCGAGCCTGAGCCCGAGGTTGAGCCCGAGCCCGAGGTCGAGCCCGAGCCTGAGCCCGAGCCCGCATCCCCAATGGTTGATACTGAGCGCACGCTCGAGTCGCCAGCCCCGGCGAGCCCGGCCCCAGGGTCCATGCCCGAGGACGAGGAGGCCCGCCTGCGGCAGGAGATCGAGCGCGAGCGCGAGGAGCGCCGCAAGCGTCGCCAGCAGCAGCAGGCCTCCACCGGGTCCTCCGGGTACATCTTGGCCCGGAGCGGGTTCACCGGTGGCAGCGCCATCACCGGGCGCTCTTTCGTGGCCCCGAGCAGCCCGGGCATGTCCGCGGGTGGCGCCTTCTCGGACTCGCTGGACCCGTCGCGCCTGCGCAGCGGCACCAGCAGCACCAGCAGCAGCGCCTCCTCCTCGCCGGGTGCGTCCCGGTCGCCGAGCACCAGTTCCCTCGGCTCGTCGTCGTCCGGGGGCAGCACCGCGCGGGCCAGCTCTCGCTGGAGCAGCACCGACACCACCACCACCACCACCACCGGCGGGTCCTCGACCCCGAGCAGCCCGCTGGTCACTTCCCTCGGGACTCCGACGCCGCTGGCGGCCGCCCCGGTGGCCAGCCCCGGGAAGCCGCTCACTGGCACCGTGCCCTGCTTCGTGTGCCAGAAGAAGGTTTTCATCTCGGATCGCCTGCAAGTTAATGAGGAGATCATTGTGCATCGCGTGCGTGTCGCCAGGGGGCCGCCTCTGCCTCCGTCTTCCTGTTTCTCTGTTGCTCTCCTTCTCTTTTCCCCTGCTCTTGGACTCACGCCCTTGCCCTGCATTTCTTCTCCTCCTTCTTGGCGCCTGGCCCTGTGCCCCCCCCCCC